AATAGTAAAATATCACATTTGGCGTCTTAGGAATTTCCCAAAATTCGTGTTAAAAGGAAGGACGAAGCTTAGCCTTAACATACCTCTCCAACGAACATCCGAATGTCTGTAGTTCCTTCATGAAAGTTGTTCCTGACGTCCTAAGCTTCGAAACCACTATATATATGCCACTTATACGCACCTATAGATAGTTCATAAATGAGTTTAAATCGGCAGATTTTTCATATGACCCTAACTTGACGAAACACCCGTAGAACTTTGTAAAAACGATCATAAAAGAGTTCCAAGATGATTACCTTGGCAAACCAAGTATATATCCTGAAGAACCAGCAAGAACAACAATTTCCTATCTTCCAAAAATAGCTCCAAACACAGCTAATAGAAGGGAAAAATGATTGCAAAGCGTAGAGGTTGCGCTTCTAGGTACGGGGACAAACTTTAACTATAGAAATCGTTAAAAACACACCTTAATCACTCAAGAACACCATGAAACCCTCTCTTAAGCTTTCTCACTGTTTTGGGACGAAGATGAAATATTTTGGGGTCTTAAAAGTCGGATTTTCCGACTTATACCACTTGTTTGACCCGACCCGGTTCGTGACCCGATTTCAGCCCGGACAGTCCGCGGTAAAACAGTCATAACCTTTTACCCCAATATCGGTTTGATGTGAGATTTCTTTGGTTGTAAACTAGACCCGTAGAAATTCGATTTGGTAGGTTGTGGGTCCCATAACTCTTTATATATTGGGAGAAATAATCTGATACATTTAACCCAAAATTTAGAAAATTTATTAGAGAAATTTACGATAACTTTTGCCGACCTTTATTTCGCAACTTGCTTGACTCCAAAACTTAACATGTGACCAGTGTGATATTATAATACCTCATAACACATTATTCTTAGCATATTATATACTCTTAGTCTTATCCCACAGGTGCAAGTTAGCTTAAATCTTCCGAACGCGCGAGGTGCTACCCGAGCCATTTCTTTAACCATGAACCTTTGTTTAAGGGATTCCTTTGACTTAAAGCTTTAGTTTAGTTCCTTGATATTACCACACATTTTCAGTCTTATTCTCCCAATGTGCTATACCCAATCATATATACCTAATATAACCACGCCACATTACGTATATTACGTAAGAGAAAAGAGAAACACCTGGGGTCTCACATTAATACTTTCAACATCAATATTAATTTGACTTACACCTTCAACAAGGAGATCGTGAATAATTACTTGTAATTCCTGGACTTGGGTAATAACAGACTTGCTATCTACCATTTTGTAGTCTAAAAATTTAGCGACAACAAATTTCTTTAACCCGACATCTTTCGTTTTGTATTTCCTTTCAAGCGCAATCCACAGTTCTTTTGACATCTCCACATTATTGTAGACGTTATACAGATCGCCCTCCAGTCCGTTGAGAATGTAATTCTTGCATAGAAAGTCAGAATGCTTCCATGCCTCAGTCACGAGAAAGCGTTCAGTGTCTGGAGTTTCATCGGGCAGAACATGAACATCTTCCTTAATGAACTTCTGTAGACGTAAAGTCGTCAAGTAGAAGAACATCTTCTGCTGCCACCGTTTGAAATCAATCCCGGAAATTTTTATGGCTTTTTCTGCCGGTGTTGTTCAGCTTGTCGATGCATTGGCAGTCACCATAGGAACAGTCTGGTTCCCGTTGTTATTCGTCATTTCTGTAAAAGAATAACACAAACAAACGTTAAAAACACGTAGATTTTAATCTCCAATAGAGTAGAAAACCACAAAGGTTTTAGTCTCCAAAACAGTGAGTATAACACAAATACAGAAAATAGTAAGTTCATTAAGTTTGTTAGTAAACTGTATTTGTAAAATTATTCTGGAGAAGATAAAATAACATATAAATAGAAATGTAAAATAAACAGAATTTAATCCAAACCCACTGAATTTACAGTGTTTCCTTAAAGAACATAATCCCCTCCTAGTACCCGAGGTTGTGGATCATTTCCTCCGAGGATAGAACGAATTACACACTGGTGTAGCGGTACTTCAAACCTTAGTATTTTAGCGAACACAATGATCGGTAGCAAATCACACTTACTGTTGCTTTGTTTGTAATTAAAATAATGCAGAACAAAGGATGGGCAGAGGAGATAATTTGGATTTAATATTAATTTTTCGTTATAAAAACAGATATTTAATAATATTACGTTAATATTTACTATTAACAAATAAATTTGGTCCAAAAAATTAATTAATCAATCGATTGACCGAAGTGGAAGCCGAAACCGAGCGACGACGACGACGCGAGGCTTGCCTTCTTCTTAACTCTTTAAGAGCTAAAAGAAGAGCAATTGTATATATACCCACCAAAAGTCTTTTACTCCTCCAATATGGGATAATGTCCCTTTGTCAAGGAAGAAAACTCAAATATTTCATTTTTTCTCCATTTCTCATTCACCCTCTTTTAAGCTAAAATAGCTTAAAACCCCAACAATGCTTGATAAAGTGATGGGTAATATATAATGGTAGTTGATAGCCATGATTTTTTATTGTTGTGGTAATGATGGTTGGTGGTAATTGTTGTAAATGATGGCTAGTGGTAGTGATAAGTGACATTCATGCTTGGCATTGGAAGGAGACATCGATAACAGTGGTAATGGTGATTAGAGGTAAAAATATACGAGTAATAGTGAAATATCATTTTTACAAAAATTCTTGAATGTGTAATATCTTAATGATATTATGACTTTTTTATAGATCTTAATCATTAAGATCTATTCAAAAAGTTAAAAAAAAAGTCTTGATGGTTAAGATCTGAATGATTAAAATTCAGATCTAAAAAACAAACGCATTTAATGACTGAGATCTGAATTATTAAAATTCAGACATCAATCAAGTGCAACAAATGAGGCCTTAGTTTGACCAATAATTTTATGATTTTATCCTTAATTATTATTTGTAATTCCTAAAATATCCTTACTAAAACAGAACGTTACCTTCTTCATAATTATTTATTTAATGAACTTACCATTCACTGTTTAGTCTGAAACTAATGCCCTCCCATCCAACGCAAGGAACAAAAAAGAGAGGCAAAAATGACACTAATCTTCTTGTTTTGGATAATGTTCTGGGTATCCCTTTCTCTTAGGGTGTTTTTAATTTTATGTACGAATATTTTATGTAATGATTGAGTATATATTTTATTAACAAACTTTATTTAAATTGTAATTCTTTTATTATATCTTATTAGAAAATAATTTATATTTCTAACATATAATCTTATCTAGTCAATTTAGAACTAAAAGTTAATTTTGAGATGTAATTTAATTTGTACTCGAATCAAACTAAAATTAAAAATATTATAATAATCATCTCATTGGTAGTGTAAATAATTTTTAGGACATTTAGGTTATTTTAACATAAAAATGCGCTTATGAGCAAGGTTTAATTAAACATTTCAACTGCTTATTATCAATTTTAGCACGTTTATCCAGACACATAACTGTTTATTTATTAAACAGTTTCAGCACCTAAAAATGGTAATAGTATGGGATAGCCAGTTTTCGGATTGGTAATCGAAAAATAGCCAGTGTTCGTAAAGTCATTGAAAATTAGCCATTATTTTACTGCAACATGGAAAGTTCCAGCATAATATACCGGAGATTTGAGCACATGTGTATGAACTTCCAACATATTATGTTGGACCAGTATATTATACTGGAACTCCAGTATATTATGCTGGTATATTTTTCGGATTTTGAACAATATTTTCGTTCAAATTTATCTTTACATGAAAAGTGGCTAAATTTCGATTACTTTTGAAACTGTGACTATTTTTCAATTAACACTTGTAAATCTGGCTATTTTTGAATTTTAGCCCTAAAAATGCTTATTAGCACTAACTTTTAATCAGTTAAGCCAAATGAACTTATAATAATTATATTTTAATTTATTTAATTATGAATAGTGGTGGCAAATGGATAAAAGAAAACAGTTATCTACTCATATTATCCATCAAAAAATGAATTGGATGAACTGTTTAAAAACGGGTCAACTATGGATAAGAACCATATTATCCACTTAGAAAATGAATAATCAATGGATAACTAATGTGTTTAACTATTACATTTGTAAAGTTTCAAATTGGGGGTTCCTCAAGTTTGGGAGATCAGGAATTCTCTCAAAGTGATTATATTCAAAAAGCCATGGATAATATGGGTATCCATATTATCCGCCGGTTAATTCATTTTTTATCCGTACTAAATATGAATCGGATCGGATAATTTATCCATTTTTGCATTAGCTATTTTCGACTCGGTTCATATCCTACCCTTGTTTGCCACCCCTAGTTATGAGTATACCTCAAGGTCGCTTTAAACCCGAATTTTGACTTCCCGGCAGTGTTCAATTTGTGCCTATTTATAACACACTCATCTTATTCCTCGTCCTAGATAATTCTACTATACACTACATTTTAGCCTTTTAGTGACTCCTTTTTTTTAATAAGGTTGCCTTTTAGTGACTTTAAATGACACCAAATCACCAATCAAATACATTTTTTAGACCACAAAATGACAATCCAAATAAGGCGGATGTTTATTGAGTATATTCTACTGTATTTCCAAATTGCATAGCACCATCTAAGTCTTTGCATTGCAGCAATAGGCATAGACTTTGAGCCCGCTTTGATTGGCTTAAAAAAAATAGTTTTTCCAGCAAAATTAACTTTTAAGCCCAAAAACAATAAATTTGGGTTGCTCAACTTATTATTTGGCTTGTTTTAAGTAGTTAAACACCCTCCTTATTTCTTTAGGCTGTTTCCTGTAGTTGCCTCAAGATGTCCTCTTTGGTCTTATCTGTTGATATATCTGCTTAGATGCCGAGCAAAATTCACGAACCAAAAACCTATCTCCTCAATTTTTTCTTTTTTGGAAAAGGCCGGATACGAGTAAGTATTTGTTGAAAAGGAGAAATAGCATTCATACTTCCTTAGAAGCTTGGGGATATCAAAATGTCAGTGAAGCAAAAAGACCATTTAACTTATCATTTGCCGATAAAAAAGATTGAAGGGGCTAGTGTTATTTGTACATTCGAATTTTCGCCATAAAGCCTCACACCTATGGTACAGTCGTAGTATTATACAGTCATCACAGAAAAGCCTATTGCATTTCTACATTACCAAAAGCTTAGTATAATTCAGAGGCCGAAAAAAACCACTGGCTACTGCATTTGTATAATTCAGTTTTCAATCCATGTTAAGGTTCCCACGATTAGGTATTTGCTCGGAAGTTCCCCAGCACATGGTGCAAGATATGTTATCTTTTTCCTGAAAATGGGAGATAATCAAAGATAAAGATCATACTTTGCACTCAGCATAGCAAAAGTGACTGTCTAATAAGAGAAGAGTTCGAGTTCACACCTATGCATGTCAACGTCTGTGACATAGATGAATCCGGCAACATTACTGTAATGGGAAGAAAAGAAGGAAGTATATGAGATACAAAAACAGTTTTTCCTGGGGAAGGAGGGAATGAGATGGCAGGAATAAACACCACTTTGCATAATTCCGATGAACAGCATAATACTCGATAAGGTAGATGCTTCAATAGCAGAAATATATTTTGTAAGAAACAGTGAAGGAAATGAAATAGTAGTTACCTCGCTAGTGAATTTTACAAATTTTAGATCACGATACTACAATTGTTACAGGAGCCAAAAAGACTAAAGAGAAAAATGCCAAATTTCCAGGCTACGTCAGTAAGGGATGAAACTGAGGCTCACTGTTATGTCAAACTTGTGTTATTTAAGCTTTTTAATAATAAACAGGGGTTTCTTTTACAGCTAGGACTCACAAATTGAGAGCAGTAATTCTAAAAACGAACCTCATAACCTTAAACTCTTTTAGCTAAAACAGAATAATCAAATATCACTGAGCATAAGAATGACGATAGAAAAACGAACTCAGCCTTACCTGGAAATTATTTGATCTGGTTCATCGGCATACGAGACGGCAAGAACCAAATGAAGCAAGTCCCGGTTGATACTAACAGGAACCAATCTTGTAGGATCTGCAGCAGGCTCTGCACCAATAGGTAAAGCTGAGCGTGGAGCCTGTGGTCCACCCCCAATTCGGTAGATGAACAAGTCACCGAAGTTTACTACATTAGAATGTGGTGAGAGGTCATTTGAAGGGCCATAAAAGTACTCCTGGTAGGGGAAGCAAAGACAAAAAAATGTTTAGTTTTGCATTACAAGGATAAGGTGAAAACTAAGAGGACCACACTCCCCTAGAGCAAGTGTTCATGTTCCAGTGCATGAACTGTGAGTGTGACTGACTCCGAACTCTCTCTATTATTAATCAATAAAGAAATCTGTACCCTTATTCTGTAGCCCCTTGCTTTCTGGCGTACTTTTGCATTCCTTGATACAACACCACCAGACTTTTGAAGTTTCACCACATCCACATTAGGCCGATTCTTCAATACATCTTTTAGCATGCTACAAAGTTTTTCCTGTCCAGAGTACGACCATATAATAGAAACAAGATCAACTCTTACACTGTAGAAAACAGCTCTACAAACGAGTAATTGCTGGAAACCAGTTCTCAAGCTTAATTAATGTCTAACAAGAATAGTTTGGCAACACCAAAATTTCAACTTTCCATACTTTCACTCTCTATTTCCTTTTGATATCTGTATTATTTGGTCCATTTTCAAATGTTTCTTGATATACTTTCCTCTTCTACCCCTCTGATAAAACACCCACTCAAGAAAATGGCTTTAACATATGTGGGACTGGCCAAGCAATGCACAACAACTCGATAGTGATTATAATGAAATTTAGGCAATAGCTTTGCCATTTTGGGGAGGGAGAACTGAGAAGCCGTAGGTGGGTGGAAGGGCATCGGTTAGAGGAGGAGGTCTCATGTACTTTAGTATTAGAGAGTATATCTTACGGGTGCAGTTATTTTCATTTATCCTAGGAAACCACAGAATGTCCAGGGATTACCCCAAATGACATACTGTGTTGCATTTATCTTCTCCGATACTTTTCCAGAAAGAGAATACCACAGTACTCACTTTCAACATTTCTTAAACTGAACGGAAAAGAAACCAAGAGAATCTTCTGGACTAAAGAGCTTCAACCCCACAAAACTCCCCTGCACTGAGCTCATAGCTTACATGTCCTACTTAATGTCCAACGGCTGCATTGATTTTAATCCCCTGGTGAATTGGAATTCTGCTCAATCCTTCATAAATATCATACACTATTTTGTTAGTTCATTCAACTCAGGTCCTAAACTTTTACACTAATCCTCGATTAAACAGGCTCGAGAAGAGAGTATGTGAACAGATAACCTTTGCCAGTTTCAGTAAAATCATTCTACTTCTCTTACTCATAACCCATATGGCAGATATAAATAAGTGTAGTAGTAATTATACTAATTTTGTCCATAATATTTGAAGCAAATTTTGTACTGAGCTTGCCTATTTGTCAGTTGTCTACTGTCTAAGAGAAATCAGCTATCACATCTAATGTTCCAAGAAAATAGTAGTGGCACAAACTGACGAATATTCTAGAGCACGACTTTGTCTCGCAAACAGAAGTTTATCTAGTAAACAATTTCTGAATCACGTGTAAGTTATGCAGGGGCTAATTGTCTTTAAAGGAGTTCTTGATGGACCATAATTATTAGTTGTAAGTTTGAAACCAACCAATACAATTTCTAAATTAAGTAAATGATGAAACAATTATCAGAAACAAAATACTTTCTTTGCTAATCTATGATAACAACAGCAACCTTTTCTTTTGTAAGGATAGCTATGGGAAAGGGAGTACTCTCGCACAGTTCTAAAAAAATGAGCCGTATCAGAAATATTTCCTTTGCTCCTTAGACGGCTATTGATACAAAATGATGAAATTGTAGAAATCTAAATGCAACAAAGATCAGAACTTGCAGAAATTTGGAAAGTTTATTGGTTACCANACGATCAAAAGCCAAATAACATAAGGCTAAAACGGAAGTGCGGAATTATCAAAATTAAATGCTTTATTAACTGCAAAGCTTCTTATTCAAGTTTAGTACCTCATTTCATAGACAATTTCGACACAGTTAGGGAAATTCTGAAATTTCAGAGGCTTGGTTTAATCAAGTATCTGATTATCAAAGAAAGGCTACATTGCTTACTCCTAGTAACAATACTGAAGCATGTAAATGGGTGAAGATCAGACGATGAGATATAAGAAGTTCCAAGTATGTGTATTATTCTTCATTAAAAGAGAAACACCAATCACTACTTTCAATCTGGTTTCTTGTAAGTTTAAGCACTGTACATCATTTTCTTCTAACCTTCTGAACAACTAAGAGATTCGTTCTAGGAGAACGAAGACTAGTTGAAGTAACATGCTCCCAGGTGAAGTACTTCCTAGACAACTGCCTACTGGAGAGTAGAAATTTCAACCAATAAAGAGACCTCAGGTGTTGACATTTTGATCAATACTACAAATAATGGCGAAAAGATATCAGCTCAAGGCAAACTAGTGCTCTCTTTGGAAGACTTACATGAATATTAGCTTTCAAAATGTTAATATGCCTAATTAGTAACTCTTTCTTCTTTTATTAGGTAAGTGTAGAATATATCTTTGCGGTTTTGAATTCTTGTCCCTTCGTTCACAGCACTCGAGTTTCCCTTGATATTTAACCCCATGGCATACATATCAAATTCCTTCGTGTGCAAAATTAATCATATAAAATGAACTTCACTGTCAGTAGAGAACATACCTGACCCAAGACAAGAATAACTGTGGCATTGAATGTATCAATCGCATGGAGTAGCAACTGCAAAAGACGACCAAATGGTGACCACAGCACTCTAAATGCCACCCTCACTGTTTTTTACACACAAAAAAAAAACAGAATTGAGCTTAAATACCTCATAACCAACTCCCTCTATCCATCCCATTGTATTTATTACCATGCCTGAAGCTCGAGATTCAGCATTGCCAGAAAATTGCCTCTCCAGAGTCTGAGCTAGCTCCTTGACGAGTACCTTGTAGTGATCTATGTTGGCACTGTTAAAGAGAGAAGTGGTGTCTGCTAGTTAGTAAATATGCTAAAAGCAAACTGCAAGTGCTAAAGCAAGTTTTCTTCATACAAACTTTAAGTTATACAAGAGGGTCGAGGTCAAAATAACACTATGTCAAGGGACAAGGTTTCTACCTAGGAGTCACATGACCAAAGAAGTAGACCATAGGCATTTCAAGTGGAATTCCTTCAACTGGATCAATAGGCAACTCAATTGGCGTAGCAGCAACACATCCTGGAATAGTTATCGATCCTTGACCAATGTCCAAATCCACAAAAGTAGGTTTCCATCCCTGTTTTGCTGCCCAACTAAGAAGCATCCTTGATAAAGTACTCTTGCCAGAATCTGTAGGTCCCACAACGACTACCCTCGGGCCCTGGCCAAATCAAGTATGTTAAAACTTGTCGATGAAACACATGTAATTCTGATAAAGAATATGTCCAATGGTTAAATAACAGAAAGGAGCTAAGAATTAGATTAGCAGAGAAATCCTCAACTTATATCAATAACTAGGATAATATACACTCCGCAAGAGCACCCTAAGAATCACCATTTCCTCTTCCTATCATCCCAATTGAAATATCATCTTTTGTTTTCTGATAAGGATGAAGTGTCATCTTACATAGAAGCAGGCTTCTACCATTCACATATTACCTCTTATTCTTGTAACCTCTCCAATTTGGATTCCGTGCATTATCATGACAGAAACTAATGTATCTTAAGGAATCGCAACATTAAACAAAGCGGATCAACAAGAACTTCCATGATCTCCTAAAGGCTGACCTACATAACCTGAGAGTGGCCGAGCACCACCGCATTTCAATTGCCTCTATAGACTTGCAATGTGAATTTTTTTTACCTAAAGTCGTTCTCTCTCATGACCTAAACACATAAGTTTACAGTATCAAAAGCAGCATAGTAGAAGATCAGAAGCAAATAGCATGACAAAGTATACTATATGGTTTCTTCCCTTTCTATTAGATATCTTCTATTTAGCCGCTTGATTTTGTTCCTACAATGCCTCGTGGATGGTCAAGCAAGGAGCAGTGTTGTCAAAGGCCCACTTGATGTGCGCTTGAGACCTGAAGCTAGGTGCGAAATAGGTTCTGCGCTTTGTGGCACTTAAGCGGCTCTTCAATATAGGCACCAAGGTGCTAAGCCGTGCATCTCATCTCATTGCCCATGGGCTCTGTCTGGAGGACAACCACACTAAACTATATTTATTTTACCTAATTGTATTTATTTATTTTTTCAATTTTGTTGTCTATCTAATTGTTGTTTGGGTTTTTTATTACATTCTATTTTAACTACATATATTTTTATATCTTTCCCTTTCTCATTAAGACTCACGCTTTGAGTTTAAAGCCTCAATTGACTTAAATTGGCTTTCATAGAGCTTCCTCATTCTTTAACTTGATAATACCACCTTCGTGTCATGCAGTGAGTTATCTTTATCACGGGTGCCCAGCACTTCCCCTCCCTCCGCCTAGGATTTCCCCTCCCTCCCTCCCTCTCACTCCTACAACTGTAAACATCTTCTCATGGTACAAAACTTAACAGTGATTTTGCAAAAATCAGAGAAAGAAGTTGGTTTCCGAATGCCCCATAAGCAGAAGAGTAAATGATTAAGAAAGAAAAATGAACCTTTTAAATTCTTTGACTTTTATCCTTTGCTGAATAATAACCAAAAATGATACCTGAGAAGTGTCAGAATCACTAGGTGAAGCTTTGGCACGATTTCTTCGTCCATCAAGTACAGCATGAACATTTATATAACTTATCATCGGCGTCTAGAAAAAGAAATTACAACGCAATTAGTCATTCGGTTTAGTGAAGTTCAATTCAACAAAACCACTTCAAATACAAAAATGCAGAAACAATACAAAAAGTACAGATGGCTAGGGAGAAAGGCCACACCTCATCTGCTGTATAATCAGTTTCAGTGGGACCATCCATCTCGATTGTCGCTCCATACCAAGTAAAAACCTAGCTTTTACAACTCGAACATGTTTAAAAAAAAAAAAAAAAGGGAACAGATATACTCGCAAGATGCAAAATCTTGAGCAAGATATCCAGATAGGTGATTCGTATTCTTATTTTTGGCTAGGAAAGAGTTTGGTTCACTTTAACAGACATCAAATTAAAGAACCACAGCAGATGTAAATGCATTTTTGCCTTTTTGGGGTAAAATAAAATATTTGATCATAGTCTCAGCACCTAGTGCTTCCTAACAACAGTACAGCTTAGCATTTTTCGAAAAAACAAAAAAGTTTCTTTAGATGTTGCAGTGGGCTCAGAACTTCAACCCAAATCTGATTGCAAAACCATTCCCACAACAAGCCAAAATTTCCAGACAACAATAACTAGGAATAGAGTGTTTCCTTCTGCAAAACCCCTTCTTCTGTTCTATCCATCAAAAGGAACTCCCAAGCAAAGCCCACTAATTTTTTTAATCCAGCATCTCTATTTCAATCAACTGACTTTAATTTGAACATGTCCAGTACTTTAGCAAAGACGTTTTATGTACCTTCTCCTGTCCTTTTATAGCAGGTTCTTTAATAACCGAGAAATCCCCGAGGGATCAGTAGCGCACGGTTTAAAACTCAGTGGATAATAGGTCCACCACTCTACCCTTCTCCACTTAAATACCAGGCTTTTGTTCGTGGCAGGGTTCGAATCCGTGACGTATGCCTAACCTACACACCACACGTTGCGTTCTTACCTAGATCAAAACCTAGGGGTGAAAAAATAATCCCTGCAAATGAATGAGTACCCAGAAGGCAAAAGAGGATCATGTTGAATGCAATAATATATAGCTCCCACGTTGTGGAAACTACTCCATCAAGCTAGCCTCTTTCTAATCCTTGTAAATCTAGAAAGAATTTTTCATATCCTTGTATTTCGGCAAGCAGTTCTTTTGATCAAACATAATCTAAATTGATACTCATGTCCAAAAGATATATTAACCAAAACAAAAATGAGACAAACTTCAAAGATACACACAGTCATGAAACTTGAGGCATGTATCAGATACATCCAGCGACAGATATTCACAAGTGTCAAACAGTTAGGCAATCATTCAAGGGCACACATTCATTTGATTGCATAGATGATAGAAATAATATCATACAGCAAATTTGAGTCTTGGAGGGATGGTAAGCCAGATCTCAGGAGGGATTTCAGTCCCAAAAATCTCAGCTGTTCCAGTGAGGAGTCGGAGACGGAGGGGCGAGTCAAGGCTGGTTTCAATTCGGAGCTCACATTCTTTATCCAGCTTCACCTGTCTCACAGATGTTGAAACACCTGTTGCTGCCAATGGATTGACATTTGTGCCTCCATAAGCCATATGAGAGCTGCTTCTATTGTTGGCTCCAACTATCTGCCAATTTTCACCAAGCATATGAGTATACTTAAGTCATAATAGAAGAATTAAAGGAAGATCTATGCTTTCTGTTACAGCAATGAGAAGGTAAAACAATCTTCATGCTTTTCCCCCCATCTGGTATGATTCTACTTTATTAGTCTATATACTATGGTGTGGGGGAACTAGGGGACCTTTTCCCAAAAGAGTAGACAGCTGAATGCTCTAGTGAACTCTCTTAGTTTTTAACCAGTTCTTATTAAACTCCCATATCAATTCTTTGTTTTCTAATTAATTGGGCATGCATTTCTTCTTTCTTTTCTTTTTTTTGATGAAGTTAATTGGGCATGTATTTCCTGAACATTGAATCTATTGTTTTGGTTGCTCCAAAGAAAGATGTGTTAATTTGGAGGTGCTGCTTCACGTAGCAGGAAGCTTTTTCTTCTCCTCATAATCGCAGTGACATACTCAGATGTCCTATTTTCTCAATCGCATTTTTCAACATGTTATTGTCCCTAACCTACATATCAAAGCCCAAGTTTAGCCATAAAAATAAATAAAAAAAAAATCTCTTCTCTCATAAGCATTAAATGCTGATCAAAAGTGTATCAAAGGCATGAATACATCTTGTTGGCGATGTAACTTTTGACCATCATCTTCAAATAAGCATAAAGAGCATTATAACACAACTTTCGCAAGACTGAAGTCAACATATATTAAGAAAAAGGTAAAGCAAATAGTTTCAGAAGGGAAATACATCAAACTAGCAATAAAAGCTAATTTGAGGGTTACCCAATGTTCATGCAGCATAAATTCTCACATGGGAAACATTGCACACATGATGAATCCTAAAGAGGTGAAACAACATTATGTGTGTTAGGCTGCAACTATATTCTATGCATTACAACAAGTGGCGTTGCTCTAATGGCAAGAGCACTCCACTTCCACCCATAAGTTGGGCGGTTAAGTCAACGAGAAGTAAAGTGGGAAAGAGACACTGCTGACTCCTGAATAGAGAGTTTAGAGAGTGGGGCTTACCATATCAAAGAACATGCACACACACATCTATATATTTTATGCATTACACATTATGGCACGGCTCAAGGGGTTAAAGGAAAAACCCACTAAACTCAGTCAAAATAAACCCGTAGCAATTGCAAGATCGATAAACGGATAAGGAGACCTCCGAAAAAATAAGATCAGTCAGATTCTAATACCTATATTGAAGATACATAAGAAAGGAAAAAGGAAGGATATACTCTATTATTTTTTAAAAGGTATCCTTCTATCCACATAGGCGAGATTAACTAGTTCCAATCAAGACTTCATTTTGTTTTCTTGGTTACGATCAACATCAAGTTGGATGTTTGACCGTGGTCTTTATAGACTGGTTAGACTTTATAGAATTGTATGTTAATGCTAGTATAAGTGTGAGAGTTAACGTTTGATACTTCTTGAGGCTGCTTTGACGGAACGAAGTAACTAGATGATTTTTCGAGTAAATAGATCAAATCCAATGCAGTAGTTGCTCCACAGGGGTACCAACTCAAACACTTCCTATCCACTTCAGGCTATAGGACTTAAAACGGGCTTTACTTACAATCTGAGCCTTTTGAAGTGCCAGTAGTCATAGCAGTCTTATAGGGCTTTCGTCATTCCACTTGGAACAACTATTATCAGGGTATCCACGATGAAGTTCGGTACATGTTGGTCACGGTATCTGCGGTGAAGTTGGCACATGTACTGACGTATATGCTCAAAGTAGACTTATGACGAGTGCTCGTGGCGAAACCACAAAATTTTGCTGAAGGTGTTCAAAGTTTTAATATGTATGTATAAAAAGTAATCTTTGACCTTATATTCAATATAATTTTCTATATACCTAGTATAATTTTTCCGACAAAGTGAGTTCAACTGACCACCTCTTTCGCTCTATGTGGCTACGCCACTAGATGAGCCCAAATAGAAATTCTTTCTATGGGATTACGAGTATTCCATATTTATCACAGACTACCAAAAAAGTAAAAAAGTTAATTAAAAGAAAACATTTTTTTCAATCAAATTATTCATTCCTGAGAAGAGGAAGAAACCTATAGGACAAAGGCCCTTTCTTTCCATCGTTCAGAGCATTAATATTAAGCATGAGCAACAAAAAAACTATTAAAAAAAAAAGCTTGTGCTACAAAGCTAGGAGCAAAAGAAAAAAAAAACACACTGACTGATAAAAATTATTGAAGGAAATAACTACATAATCACACAGTTTTTTCTAATTTATCAAATGACCAATTGTACACTAAGTCTCTACGCAATTAAACAAAGAAAAAAAGAAAAAGTATAGCAACACAATTAAAATACGCATTTTTACCCAAAATCACAATAAGGGAATAAAACAAAAATTAGGGCTTTTAGCATAGAGCAGAAATTTTGGAGTGTAAGGGTAGAAATCAAGAGGAAAAAAGTCAGAGAGGAAGAAGGTTACCTAGGAATAGATTTCGCCGGAGAAAAGGGAGACGGAGAGAAGCAAGTTCGCCGCCGACGAAGAGTGAAGTTTTAGCTCACCGCTAGGCCCAAAAGAGAAAACGGCTACAGCTATATATATTGCGTCGTTTGAAATTGGCGGGCCGAAATCCAAAGGTTTGTTGCCTAATTTGACCACTGAGCTTAGGTACTGAGCCGGCTCGAGCTTGTATTTTAGCTCGGTGCAACCATTAACGGCGGTATTCTTGATATTGGAGACAATTTTAAAAGTTTACTACAAAGGTAAATTTGGCACAACTATTATTATAGAGGTAAATTTGGTCTCATAGGGTAAATGAATAAAAATTTGATCTTTTTCCCAAAAATAAATTGATAGAGAAATTTTCCCTATAATGGAATATAGTGCAAATTTAGTGGGCGTTTGGACTTAAGAATTGTAAAAATCCAAAAAAAAAGTTAAAAAAATTTTCAACTGAAAATAGTATTTAAAAATTAGAGTTGTGTTTGGACATGAATATAATTTTAAATTTTTGGGTTGTTTTTGAATTTTTGTGAGTGATCTGAGTGAAAATTTTGAAAAATAGTTTTTTGGAGTTTTTCAAATTTTCGAAAAATTCCAAAATTCATCTTCTAAGTGAAAATTGAAAAATTTATGGCCAAACACTGATTTCGAAAAAAAGTGAAAAAATTCTTATGTCCAAACGGGTTGAGATTAATGGCACTAGTAAATTGATGTTTATTTAAATTCTGAATCGACTTGACTCGGTTGCTCAAATCGTTGACTTAGCTAAGTGATGAGCAATAAATATTAAAATAGATCAACAATTTAGTATATAATGAAGAATAGTAATCTTTCCATGAGCATGATTGTTAACTATCAAATATGAATTTGTGTTAAGAAATTAAGCTCACAGTAACAATAATATGAGATGTAGAGAGGAAAAGATAGCTTTCTTATTACTTTCGAGTGTGTATAACATGGTTATCGTATATACATCTATTTGCAGGGCCAGGGGCGAAGCCAACATTGTCCGAAGACTGATCACCTTTCGTCGAAAATTTACATTGTGTATGTAGGTAAAATATTAGGTTTTAGAGGTATATAACATATATTGCACACCCTTTGTTGGGAATGTTTTTTCACTTTTTCGAAATTTTAACACCCTTGAAGAAACTCCTGATTTCGCCACCGTGTAGGACTACATTGAGATTATGAAAATATTTACGGAGGTGTAGGAGTTACAAACATAATTATAATTATAAGGAGTATAAGGAGCAGTGGGAGTTACCATAGAGAAGAGCAGTCAGAACTGTGGACATCAATTTACAACACTGTACTTTTTATGCGATATAATTAAATTGTCAATCAAGATTGTAAGCAATGTCAGGGTGACATGGAATGTGATTAAAACTTCTAATTTAAGAATTCAGATTATTAATGAAGTTTATTTTAGTTCAAAATTCTTGATGTTATTGTTATTTATTCTTTTTGGCCTTAAAATATTCAATTAACCAATATACAAATTTGTTTTTTTATTATTTAAACTAGTAATTCAATCACATTTGAATCCAATTAGCAACTTAACTATACACTCATATTTATTTCACGCAACAACTACTCTAGAGATGTACTTGTACACCGGTAGAATCAACATTTTTACTAAAGAGATTCAAAAATAATTATAAAAAAAAAAAAGCAAACACGCGGAAAAGCCAAGAAATTTCAACATTATATATATATATATATATATAGAAAGAGAGTTAATCTTATATACGCAGTATAATTAACCTCCTTCTGCCCCTAGCTTCGCCCCTGGTTGTGCACAACGTCAAATATGAGAAAAGGTTGGCCTTATTTATGTCCAAGAAAAACAGGAGAACATGACATGAAAATGTCTATTAACAATAGTGTTTTAACACATCCTTACATTTCACATCACAGATCAAAAGATTTATTCAAGTTTCTATCTTTCTCTATTTACAATTACTAAAGTGAAAGAATTACATAAATACTTATGAGAAAAAAGGAAGTCAAGCACCTCTTTTAAGTGCCCCTCTTCAAGAATTCAATAGGAAGTTGAATGACCAAAAAAATGAAAAAGATAAACAAGTGAACAAAACTATAAAACAAGTATCTGCAAATACCTCTGCAGAACGGATCATGAATTTCGCACAGATTCGTCAAGCATCATTCCTTTCAGACTCTTGGCCAACCAAATAGCCGTCTCCCTCGGTGAAACCTTGTTCTTGCCGAAAGGTTTTAGAACGACAGCGAGCTCTTCTAATCTGTCTTGTTCCAGTAAGTCAGCAGATAGTTCTAATAGTCCTTCAAGTGCATCTGCCCTTTGTCTAAAAGACTTGACATCTAACGTTTCCTTTACCGGCCTTTCCTCCTCTGCAGCCGGCTCTGAAGAATCTATTCTTTGTGCTGAAGAGGTTGGACTGCTGTTGTTTCTTACATCCATCTCCTTAGTATGGACACCAATCACCGATCCAGCAAAAGTAGAAGCATTTGGAGCGCCATGAGAACCTAGATTGTCGATATCAACTTCATCTCTTACCACATTTATCAGTTTTCCAACATCAGCATTTGTCTCCATAGTGTCTGTCGCTGGCTGTTCACAACCAACTCGGAAACTACTGTGTCGAATGACATGTATGATGTCGTCAGAAGCAGCTGGTTTTTCAAGAACCATATTCTTTGGAACAACCGTCGTCAGTCCCTTCTCTGACGACAAATTGTTTTGAGGAGGTGAAAAAGGAGGGAGCGAGGGAGTAATACTTTCGGTCGGAGAGCATAAGAGTTCCTTTGTAATAAACTTGTCGTCACCATCAGATTTTGAGGCGCTGTCTGAGTGAGGAAGACTAATTTGACTCAAGGGAACAAGAGGAGCAGTGGGAGAGGCAATTTCTGTTGTCGAGGATGACAACTTCACCATAAACTTATCGTCCCCAGGGGAGGCCGAAGTGGGGTATGATTTCTGATTGCAAGCACCAACATCCAAAATGTGATGAGGCTCCTCAACCTTTTCTACGGAGCATGGTTCAGAATTCTTGTTATCACGGGTTTCCCCTGAACCAAAAGCAATCTCCGAGAGAGATGAGTTAGTGGTTGACCAGGAAGGCCTTGATCTTGTGGTCTCAGTTTCAGTAGCTCTTTCGTGACTTAGGAGCATCTGTTCGGTCAAATTTATAAAAGGAGGAGTTGTTGCATCGTCACAAAGTTCAAATCCTTGAATTGATACAGAAGAAGAAGAAGCAGAAATGCTACTCTCCGCTTGCATTTCTTTTGAAGCTCCTAATGAAACCTTCCGAGAATGCTGCACACAATTCTTTATAGCATGTGTATGGCAGCCATCGGGCGTAGAATCAGGAATCGTTTCAGGACAGGGGGAATTGTCGCCGGAACCAGACTTAACATTATTGTTAAGAGTATTTGGGGCATCATGCCCCACTTGTTTCATCCTTCTCGGAAACGAGGGTCGTCTAATCAGGTTAGGAGGGGTACGCAGTCTCGGCTTTGCAGGAAATCCATCTTCAGCAACGTGTTTTGAAGGACCAGAGGTAGAGATGCCCTCATGTCTAGGTTTAGTCTTGGTACTAGACTCAATTGCAGGCAACTGCAAGGAAAGGGGCATTAATTAATTATAGGACTTTTTTCATTTTGGCCAGTCAACCGAAATTAATTATGGGCGCTAGCCCGAATATAGAAAAACATATACACTGATTATGTATATAATATGTATATTATATGTATATTTATACTTAATATACAAAACTTATACATTTGCCGGATATTATTTTTTAGGGTGGCCCAAAAATGTAATTATCCCTTAATTAATTGTACAAACCAATAGGCAAATACTACTGGAGATGAGAGATTAAATGGCTAAATTACCTGATGCTTTAAAGTATGCGGTCCGTGATTCCTTTTTGCTGAATCACATCCAGCCTTTGCTGATACAGGAGATGGCATCTCTGCATTAGGTTTAGAAGTAGGAGTAACTGAACTTGGTTTTGGGATCTTTGGTAATGGTTCGGTGTTAGCTTTCTGTGCGCCTGAACCACCAACCTTCACTCGGTTGCCCCTCATGGGAGAACTATGCTCTCTCGTTTTTCCTTCTTTCACAGCCAGCACGATACTTTTTATTGTTTTAGGTTGCTTAGCTTCTGCATGACATCTCCTCTCTTCGTCAATAATGTTCTTAGACTCATAGTCATCTGTATCTTCAGGAAAAGTATCAGCTCTGTGATTTTCGTCAAAGAAATGAGGTTGCTCAAAGTCAATATCGTCGTCAACGAAAGCAACATCTATATCAGTGCCCTTATTATCATAATTGGAAGCCCTGCTACAAGAACTTGTACTACTTTGGCTTTCCGCCATGTTCTTTCTAGAGTCACGACCAGTAGCGACAGGTTTTTCAATATGATTTGCCACACGAGTAGTAAAGGACGGTCGGTATAGCTCAACATATGGCAGCAAATACGGGTGCTTTAGGAGCTCAGAAGCCTGAAAAGGTTGATGTCAAATGATTGAACTACGTATTATTCCGACGCAAAAGTTATGGAAGAATAAATCCTTGGTAAGCTTACACTGGGACGATGCTCGGGATTCTTTCTCAGCATTCCTTTAATAAGTGTTTTCCTGTGAAAACAATATATAACAATATTTAATATACAAAATTACATACTGTAATGGAAGAAAGTTAAATCGAGAGCAGTTTGTGGAAAATTTACTAAAAACCCGAAAAGAAACTTGAAGAGACATGTGATAGCATCTGACACAAGGATTAGAAATACACACAATTTCGTATTCCTCTGCTTCATAGTGATTAGATTTGATTCAAACATAAAGCAATTGTGACAAACAAATGGCAGACTTACAAGGGTGGAGAATAACAAGACGGCAGAGGCCCAATGGACGACCGATTAATCTTACTTATTAATCCAGCCATGTCCTGAATCATTATTAAAATTACATTTTCAGGTCCGATTTGTAGCAAGTAAGAAGCTCCACACTTGAAGGAAGGGAATCAAGGAAAAGAAATAGAGAAGAGTAGAATCTTACAAATGCTTTAAATGCAGGGCGATAAGCAGCCATTTCATACATACAACAGCCTGGTCAAGAAATGAATGACTTTAATCCACAGAAGTTAATAATAACATTTAAAACATAGTGCACGATACTCAAGCCAACAAGCGTAAGATTAGAAACCGATCGCAGTATCCTCACC